TAAAAGATCTATAAAACTACCAGAAACTAAATTACAAAATCACACTAGCAAATCTTACCTTTCAGCAAATGGATCTAAATTGAGTAAAATCTCAAAGTGAAAGACACAGAATGGTTGATGGCTTTAAAAACAAATAAAACAAAGGCAAACAATGAGATCTACTATATCTAACTATAGGAGACTCACTTTACTGATAAGGACCATAGCTTCTCTGAGAAAAGGGACAGAGAACATAGTCCATGCAAATGAAACCTTAGGAGAGTTGTGATAGGTCTACTTAAAATAGACTGATGTCAGAATTGTAAGACAAAGAAGGTCGTCACAGGATGACAAAAGGGTAAGACAACTGTGAATAAATATGCACCCAACACCAGAACACCTAAATATATTATCACCTAAACATTTATCAAATGATCTGAAGGCAGAGGTAAACTCTGACGCAAAACAGTAAAATACCTAAATACCCGACCCGCAACAATACACAGGTCATTTCATCAGAAAAATCAATAAGGAAATACTGAACTTGAACGAAACTCTAGACCAGACAGACCCAACAGATGTATACATAACATTCCACCAACCAGCAATCAAATACATGTTCTTTTCAATCATGCCTAGAATATTCTCCAGGAAAGATTACATATTAAGACAAAAAAAGGAGCCTTAAATTTAAAAGGATTGATACAATAACAAGTATCTTACCAAATAAAAGCATTAAATTGGAAGTCACTATTGAGAGATTTTGCAGAACTTAAAAATAGAAAATTTGTATATCATATTAAACAACATGGTCATTACAACATTAAAACAATTAAAAAAAACAAATATAGAAATACATACAATATATACAAACAAATATAGAAATATATGCTGAAACTTATGGGATTCAGACAAAAGCAGATATAAAAGGGAAATTTTATAATAAAAAAAATTTTATTTTTTGTTCCATTTCTCATTTATCATTTCTCAGCCTTTTGGTTACGATAAAATGTAATGTCTGCATTTTTTAAAAGGTTTCAAATAAACAAATTAATAGTATACCTCAAGTAGCCAGAAAAATAACAACAGCAGCCCAAGTTGACAAAACGAAGGAGAAAAAAAAATATATATATATATAGAGAGAGAGAGAGAGTAGAGAAGTAAAGCAAACAGAGATCAGAACAACCAACCATGAAGAAAACAATAAAACTAAACATTAAAAAAAAAGACAATCAAGATTGGCAAACCACTAGTAGACTAGAAGAAAAAAACGGAAAAACTATAATAATTATAAATGAAAGAGGAATTCAGTTGCCATAGAAATATAAAATTTAAAAGAAATTATTATGTACAATTATATACCAACAGATTGGATAACCTAGAAAAAGTTAATAAATTTCTAGACATATACCACCTACAAAGACTGAATCATGGAGGAATAAAATCTAAGGAAATAATAAGAAAACAGACTGAATCAGTTCCAAAGTCTTCACCAAGCAAAGTCCAGGACCCTACATCCTCACAGCTAAATTCCATGAAACATTTGATGAAGAACTAATACTACTAATCTTCTGCAAACTCAAGAAAGTTTAGTGGAAGAAAACTTTCCAAACCTGCTTTACAGAACCAGCATTATCCTGATGCTAAAACTAGACAAAAACATTAAAAGAAAACTACTACTGGTCAATAGCCATGATACATATCAATGCAAAAATCTTTGAAAAAAATCAAACCCAACAGAACATTAAGAGAACCATTCTTTATAGAATAGTTGGATTTAACTCGGGAATTCAAAGACAATATCACATTAACCAAAGATTATTCATGCAGAAAAAAATCTGACAAAATTCAACACTCTTTTTACAGTTTAAAAAAAAGCCTTTAACATATTAGGTATAATATACTAAAAAACAATAATAGATTTATAGCGTAAATCAGTAATTAATACACTCAATAATGAAAAACTGACAACATTTTCTGAAAGATCACAGACAGGATGAGGATGCTCACTCCACCCTTGTATTAAACACTGCTCTGTAAGTCTAGCCACAGCAATTACGCAAGAGGGGTAAAAGGCTCCCAAATAGGAAAGCGAAAACTCAAATTTTTCACTTGCTGATGACATGATCTCATATAGGGAAAACCCTGGAGACTTCATCAAAATGTTAGAACTGATAAGAAAATTAAGTGAAGCTGCAAGATACAATATCAACAAGCAACAATCAGCAGTGTCCTTACAATAGCAATAAAGTATTCAAAAGGGAAATTGAAAAAATCTATCTATAATAACATCAAAACCAATAAAACTTGGGAATAAATTTAAACAAGTTCAAACTATAAGCTGAAAACGACAAAATGTTAATGAAGAAAACACAAATAAATGAAAAAAAAAACCCATGTTCATAGATTGGAAGGATAAATACTGCTCAGTCCACACTACCCAAAGTGATCTGCAGATTCAATGAAATCTGTCAAAATCCTGATGTCATTTTTTTTTACAGAAATAAAAAACTTATTTAAATCATACCAAAGGAAGGAAGAAAGGAAGGAGGGAGGGAGGAAAGGAAGGAGAGACAGAAGCAAAGGAGGGAGAAAGAGAGGAAAGAAAGAAGGAAAGAAGGCAGGAAAAAAAGAATGTTTAGTTCCCTGGTTTGATTTGTTTATACTTGTATATACATATTGAGATAGCATGCTGCTCTCCATACATGCTAATCAAACAAAATTAAATGAAATATTTTAAGAGCAAAAGTTGAAAAATGTTAAGTGTTAGCAAGGTTATGAAGCAGAGACAGCTCATGTTACTGTTAGTGAAAATATTGAACATAGCTATCAGGAAAAACACTGATGGCTCCTCACAAGCTAAAAATAGCTTTTCCGTATGATCCAGCAATCCCACATGGGAGGGAGCTATATACACATGTGCATGTGTTAAATCTATACCAAAGGGCTATCTTCACTTCCATTTTCACTATTTGCAAAAGCCAAATATGAAATAATCTAAGTATCTGTCAACAGATGAATGAATAAAGTAGACACAATGCTGAAACACTACTCAACCTTTAAAACAGAAATTCTATCACCTGCAATAATGTGGGTGAACTTGGAAATCAGTATGCTAAATAGTCCAGGTACAAAAAGAAAAGCATCACACGATCTCTCTCATACATGAAATTTCAAAAGATGGAATTCATGGCATAGAGCATTGTGAAAGTTGCCAAAGGCTGCAGGTGGAGTGAGGGGAGAGAGGGACTGAAAAGTTGTTCACAAGAAACAAAAGTTTCACTTCGGAGAAATAAATTTTGATCTCTATTGAACAGCAAAGTTACTGCTATTAATGATATTTGATATCTAGAAGTAATTCAGCAAATTTCAAGTGTCTTACCACAAAAAATTACAAGTGACTGGGTGATATTAATCATTCTATACTTCATATCAAACCATTATACTGCATCCCATAATATATAGTTATGATCTGTCCGTTTAAAATGATACTAATTTAAAAACACAATTTGTGAAATTTTTTTCTTTTCAAATGAAGAGAAAAAAAATCCAAATCTTTGCACAGAATATGAGGCTTACATAATTATTGACATTATGTGTTTTTCTTCATAATGTATATAATAAATGTGAACTATATTTCCACTACAATGTTTTAAAACTAGATACAAACTTAACGTATTTTTTTTTCATTAAAGAAAGGTATTACCTTGGACATCATGGAAAATGCAACATGAATTGCAAGGTAGCATGCCTGTGCTTAAACAGATGCACAATTTTATGGAAGAGATAAGTACAAAGCAGTATGAAGGCAATATATGTAAAATGACCCAGCAGGGAACTGGAATGCTGGGACACTCAGAGCAGGAACAAAGGTTTTAACAGAAGAGATCAGGAAGATCACATTCACAAAGAATGGGATTGGAATTCAGCTACTGCTCAAAGGAAACCTGAAATTCACGTCAGTTAAAGGGCCTGAGTCATGGCAGATACAGTGGAAATCCTGAGACCAGATTACCTCCATGATTTGTATATCACATTCAACTGACAAATTTGAGACTGACAGAAGAAAATTTCTGGTCAGACACAGAGATCTTGAAAGCAAGTAAAAGAATTCAGATTTCATTCATTAACTGCTGTGGAGACCCACTGAAGCTTTTTGAATTTGAGGGTGTGATTATCAGAACCATGTCAGGAAGCTGGGTTAATGGTAATCAACAATGGCAAGAGGTCAGGAGCAGGAGGAGACCTAGTGGAGAGTGACTGCATGGCTCAAGGGAATGCAGCATGAAGACAAATGAAGGGATACGCCACTGCAGGAGTAGAAGAGTCAATGCTTAAAGACATGAAGAAGCAAGCAAGGGAGAAGGATAATGCTAGGATTCTAAGCCCAGGTGACTGAAATCGCAAAAGGTAAGGGGAACATCTAAGTTCAGAGGGAAAGATGAGGAAATCAGTCTGAGGTCACATCCAGAGTTTTCCACCAGGAATTTAGACATGTGAAACTGGGGTGTCAGTACAGAGGAAACAGATTATAGGCTTATGTTTATCTGTAAATGGATTAATAAGAAGCAAACATATTTAATAAGAAATACAACTTAGAATAATCTGATTAAAGGTAAAAGTTGAAGCTATTTAAATAGACTTATGAATTATGATAGACTTTTTAACAACTGAATATCTGCTGATGTCAAAATCTGCCTATGATATCTGAATGTTGTATCATTTTGAGATGCAACACTGGATCATGACAAAATACCTAAGGATACAGAAGTAGATTAGGACAGGAAGTCTGCAGTAAGAAACAAAAATAACCCCTCAAGTTATGTGGTTTTTCAAATTCAGTCCTTAGACAAATTTTCAACACTAAAGTTTGGAAGTTGAAGTACTAGGCAAATCAATCCCAAGTTATTTGCCTTATACAAATGAATTTCTTTTTTTATGAAACATAAATAGAACTATTTGCCATAAAACATCACATATTTCATAGGAATACTAATCATAACCTTGAACTCACTGGGACATTCTCATAAACACTTTTTTATGTTTTGAAGCTTTTATTGACATCATCTTAAATATTACTCACTAAAGCACTTGTTCTCCAAGCCTCACCTGTTTTTGCTTTGTCAGGAGGGCTGGATTTCAGATGCTCATCCTCTGATGAAAGGCTCACACTAATACCATACAGTGGGTCATCCAAGAAAGAGGGCCTTCTAAGTCTCCCAGTACCAAGAGCCTTTGACATAAAGTAGTCTTCTGTGTCACTGAAAACCCCAGCCTCCGAAAACAGAAGACATTTCATATTCTCCACTTCAGCAACCAGAGTTTCCGGCATTTGATGTCCAGTCAAAGCTTTAGCGAGGTAGTAGCCTTGAGAAGGTGGTTCACAGTCGGCATTCTCAAGCATACCTGCAGCTTCTGCCTCAGTTTCCTGGGCCTTTGTTTCTGACCCGTTTAGCAACTTAGAAAGGATGGACATGGATAGCGGGGGTGACTCAGATGTAACATCCTCGATGTCTTTGTTTTCTCCGCCTTCAGGAAGTACAATGCTGGACTGTGGTTTGAATGTGCATTCATCCAGAAGACACTTTAGCTGCTCATCAGAGAGCAGTGTTGGGGAATCTAACTGATGAAACAAAATAAAAGACTTCATGGTCAATTGCTCAAGTAAACACATTTATTTGTGGTAAGCTTTCAGTAACAAAATAAATCCAACAGTCAGGAAAGCCCTTACATAATACATACAAATAGGAAAACAATTCATTTACAATACCCCAAGTCACAGAACTGTGCAGCAGTCTTACAGAATAACTTCAGAGTCAATCATGCTCATAATAATCCAGGATGGAAATTCTGTAACACTGATGACAATTAATTACAGCATCTTTCCTGTAGATATTAACCACTGTCACCCTTCTCTACACATGGAATCAGTATTTGAAGCTGGAATGGAAATACCAGAAAATCATTCTTCCTTTAAAATGTCACAAGCCATCAAGCAGGGAAGCAGCATCTCTTGGATAAAGTGCCAGAAACTCTACCATAGCCACCAGGAGATGTTTCTCTGAGGTATGTTCCGGCCCATTCCTCTCTGAGAACTACATCCCCTGTGCCCCTGGGAATAAACCACTCCTAAATCTGCCCATGACTTTCCTCAGACAATACTGCTGAAGACAGTAAAGGAAAGGTGCATGGGTGCCCATCATGATTTGTGTAGATGCTTCAAAGCTACAGGCCCCGGCAGGAATCGGAGCATTTGAGAAAGAGGATTTCATCACATATGTCTATTTGCTGCCTATAAAAGCAACCAAGGCTGGGCATTTCAACCAAGATTTCAGGGACTAAAAAATGCTTTTTCTTCCAGTGATAGTCTCAAAAAATAAATAAAAATAAATCTAATATAAGTATTGACCCACTTTCTACATGAACTCAAATGAACAGCAGGACACTTGAGTTAACAATCTTAAAAAGAAATGGGATTAAAATCCATTAAAACACACACACACATAATCACCTCTTTAAAAAATCAGTGTCTTCCTTGATTTTCACTATGGCACTACCTAGGAAAACACTATCACTAATCCTCACTTATGGAGAAATAAAAAATTCAAGAACTTCCTACAATAAAACTTTAGTCAGGTGCTGTAATGGTTTTAATTAATATTGCACTGTGAAAGTACATAGTAAAAGGCAAAAGATGTATTCTATCTCAAAAGAAACCACAATATCCATTGTAAAAAATAGTCCCAACTAGAGGGTATTATGCTCAGTGAAATAAGCCAATCCCAAAAGGACAAATATCAGATGTTCTCTCAGATATATGGCAACTTTCAGGCAAATACAAGATCAATTTATACACAGGTATAAATATATGTGTAGGTATATATTCATCTAGAAGAACTTTATAATGGGGACTAGCATACCAAGAAGGGAAGATACATTGCAATATCCATCTCTACTCCCATATAAAAGATGGACTCCCAATGAAACTAGTAAATATATCTTGACAATATGACAATAGCAGGCTGGACTTTCCAACATTGTCTATACCTACAATGTCATGATATACTTAAATAACATAATTATGTACTTGTGACTGTTATTAAAGGATTATACTATTGCAATAACATAAAGGAGGACAGAGTAAGGGGAAGGGAGAATGGGGAGAGGAATGGGAAATCCCTGAGCCTATGGAATGATATCATGAAAAATAAAATTTTAAAAAAGAAAACTATATAGTAAAAAATGAGAGTTCTGTGTACAGAGAGTACCACAGGGAAAAGTTATCTTTGGACGACCAATACAAATAACTTCAAATTACTATGCATTTTTGCAACTCAGGTAACATAAGTTACTACATAGATAATATACTTCAAAATTTATCACATTTAAAAATTATATTTAACTTACATATATTAAAATTAGTTCTCATCACAGCAACCACTATGGGTTTAGAACTCATAAGATACTGTCGCAGAATATATTCATAGCAATTATGTTGAATTTAAGATTCAGGTAATTCACCCTTAGGTTAACTTAGACATCAAGAAATAGAAGTTCAGGGCTGCCACAATGGCATAGCACATAAAGCTGCTGCCTGCAGTGCTGGCATCTCAAAGGGATTCTGGTTCAAGTCCTGGATGCTCTACTTCCAATCCAGCTCTCTGCTATTGTGCCTTGGAAGGTAGGAGAAAACGGCTCAAGTACTTGGATCCCTGCACCCACACAGAAGACCCAGAAGACAGTCCTGGCTCCTGGTGTCAGATCAGCCCATAGCTCCAGCAGCTGGGACTATTTGGGGAGTGAATCAGCAGTTTGAAGCTATCTCTTTCTCTCTTGCACTCTCTCTCTCTTTTGCTTGCTCTCTTATTCTCTTTCACTTTCATTCTAATTCTTTCAAATAAATAAGATAAACCTAAAAATGCAGTTCAGTTAATTAGCAAAGCCTACTTTGGATCATCAGACATTTGAGGTAGGTAGATGTGGTACTTATCAAAAATATTCCTTTCATCCTGCTATGTAAACCTATCACACAGAAAATAAAAGCAGTGTTTATGCTATTAGATACTTAAAATGTACCTGTAAAATTTGCCCATATAACATTTCATATAATAAGTAGATGATATCTAGGAATTGTCCATAGGAATTTTCCCACTGAAAAACTGTCCTCACCAAAAGTTTATCGTAAAATTTTCAGAAACTAGGAAAAAATGAAGTCTATATTGGAGCAGGATAAAAAATTACAAAAAGGTAATCTCTTCAGGGGAAAGAAGGAGGAGAGAGAAGAGGGAATACTGGTGGATTAGCTGATATGTTTGATTACTTCAAAAATAGTATTGATAGATGCTTGGAAAGTCTGATGATGTATTTGAGTTGGGATACAAAAAAGTAAAGCAAAGGTAAAAGTAAAGCAATTATGAACAATGGAGGAAAAACAAAAAGTTATACAAAAAGGATAAAACTAAGGTGAAATTTTATATTGACACACAGAAAACCAAGTAAAAGAAAAGCACCACCGTTAGCTCTAGGTAAAGAAAGTTATGTAAGAAACGATACCAAGGTATGCAATTTGCTTCTGCTGTGAATTACATTTATACAGTATCACAATGTAAATACTGATGGCTGAAGTAAAAAATACTGATTGACCTTAAAGAAAAACGGGGAAGAGAGAAGTGGTGCTTGAACTAACAAAGGTAAATCCTGAGCTACTATTACAGAAACCACAATATATACTTTGTAAGAATTAACTAAGAAAGTCATTGGGGCTGGCACTGTGGTGTAACAGATAAAGCTGCCACCTATGATGCTAGCAGCCATGTGGAAAATAAACCAGTGGGTGGAAGATCTCTCTCTCTCTCTCCATAATCCTGACTTTCAAATAACAAAATCTTTTTTTAACAACAGGAAGAAAAATGAAAATTTACAATGCCATAAAGTTAAGTAACATGCTACTGGATATGATAGGCTCCATTACACAGTTATGGACAACCCCTTAAATGAAGAGCCACAAAACAAAATCAACAACAGGAAGAAAAAAATTAAAAATGCTAGAAATTTAATAATATGCTATTGAATGACTAATGTGTCACTGAAGAAATAAAAAAGAAAATCAAGAACCTTCTTGAAAAAAATGATGCTGCTTTATGATTTATGAGTCAGTGAGTAATTTAATGAGAAAGAAAGTGTTTTGAAGAGACGAAACTACAAAATCTTTTTTTAAAAGAAAGCACAATACAGGGGTAAGTATGAGGAAAATGTGCTTAAATACATTAAAAGTAGATTCTGGAAAATAAATTAAAGCATAGAGAAGACTGAGGCAAGGGCTGCCATTCTTGTTGAAAACACTGTAACATAATGTTTCCTTTACTACTGCAACAAAATTAAAATTCAGTACTTTCTGATGTCATGGCTCCCCTCCCTAACCCTCACAAAATTGAGGGGTCTTGTGAAGCGACACTGGTTCCACAGAAGCTTCTTGTGGATACTCTGAGACAAAAACGTTACACATTCCTCCAGCTCACCTACACAGAAATAAGCTGAACCGTAATTTCCCTGGTCCTTTTACAGGAAGCAGCCAAAAAGGAAAGACAACACAGGAGACCAGAACTTGGGTTTCTGCGTAGGTTTTGCTGCCCTGAGCAAGGGTCAATAACCTTCATGTAGAAACAAGGAACTGAAAAAGATGATTTCCAAACTAATTTCCAGTTCTTAACATCTTTATGAATAACTACTCAAAATCAAGATTAGCAAAAGAATGAACTTTTCTACTGACAAAAGACCACAATGGAACTACTAAAAATAAAACAATGTAAAAGAAAACAGAATTTGTATTGCTTTGACTTTGTCACAATTTCAATCTGGAACTCTTACAACTGGTTGGCCATGTGGCATAGCAGTTGAGACTCCAGCAGCCCACACTGGAGTGTCAGGTTCAATTCCTAGTTCTGCTTTTGATTTCAGCTTCTTGCTATTGCACACGGGCGGGGAGCGGGGAAGCAGCTGGCGACTGCTCAAGTACTCAGCTCCCTGTCACCCACACAGGAGACCAGGATTAATTTCCAGGCTCCCAGTTTCAGCCTGACCCAGACCCAGCTGTTATAAACACTGAAGCATATACTAGAAGATGAAACACTGATCTCTCTTTTTCTCTTACACACACACATTTTTTAAAATGTGATAAACTGCTTAACTCCACAATAAAATAATGGCCAAAAATTCTCTCATCTCAAAACATTGTAAGTAAAAGCAAATACATTAAGTCTTCAAATTAAATTAGTCTAACCACAGAATCTCTGGATAATAATATAGACCAGAAACATCAATAGGACCCATTTTCTCAAACCTTCAATTTCCAACTAAGTCTTTGCCAACCGTAAATCTCATTAAATTGCTCTTAATTAAAGATATATGAACTATTTTTTGTAAAGTGCTAAATTAACACACATTATTTACAAAGACTGAACTTATTATCTGCCCTACAGCTTTAACACAAATACCTCTAACTCATCCTAGATAGCTAAAGGACCAGAACCCAATCTGCATTGAGAATATTCTTGAAACTCCTGAACCAATCAGCTCCATAGCTGAACTTATCATCATACAAATTTGAATAACCATTTATATAAG